TGAGATATACGAAAGTCAAGTTTCCTCATCCGAATCGATAGTGCATGATATCCGTGTACATCTTATACATATACAGACAGCTCAAATACAGATTTAAAGGTTGATTTCACATATCACCTCGGTGTCCCTCACCAATCGTCTCTCTCGCGACAGTTATATTTATTGTTACCTTTATTAATTATCAGTATTGTGATTAACTCGAAACAATAATAAATACTCAAAAAGGATCAAACTAAAATGATACCACTTCAAAACAAAAATCAACTTATCAATAATAATAATAAATCGTTTATCTATCCCAACCAACACAAACCATCAATATTTCATCAAAACCATATATCTCATATATATATAAATAAACAACAATAACAAACAAATAATCAATTCATCCCATTTATAATAATAATAATAATCATAACAATAAACATATATAATAATTATTATCACAATTTCATCCGATATCACATTGTTCAGTAATAAAAATAATAATAACAATACAAATAACACAAAAATATCACAAACAATCAATTATTCAATAATGTATTATGCGACACATTTATATTATTATTATTATTATTATTATTATTATTACTATCATTATCCCCTCTAATATTGCGACTGTAAACGTGATGTTTGCGTTGTCGAGTTGGCAATTCCATCGCAGATACCTTCAATCATTATTTTTTTTGTTGATATTATAATGACTACAAAATTACAAATATAACATTTTAAATAATAATAATAATAATAAATACAATAACAAAACCTGTAGTGGCCACGAACCGCCGATAACCCCGGCCTGAACGGATGCACCCGTCACTACAGCCAGATCCGGATCTATTCCGTGATTCGCTGCTTTGCTGAACTATTTGTAATATTATCAAATAACACTAATAATAACAATAACAACACTAATAATAATAAAAATAAAACTACCGCACCCAAAGAACGTGCCAATGATACTCCTAATCCTCGGTATGCGCGTCGATCCCCCCACCAATATAATCTCATCCACCGCCCCGATATCGATATTCGCATCCCCCAAAGCCGCCTCTATCGGGTCCACTACACTCTCGAATAAATCGCTGTTCAATTCCTCGAATTCTTTGCGGGTTAACTGAAGCTTACAACGCTTTATTATTTATTTATTATTATAATTATAATAACAATAATAAAAACATAACAATAATAAATAATAAAAACAACGCACAAACCCACCCTATAATTAAACCTCCCGACCGAATCCAAATTCAGGTTAATGTCCGCTGACGGAAACGTTGTCAACTGTATTTTCGCAGTCTCGATCGCCAACCTCAACTGCTGTACATCTTCTTTGTTGTCGAGTTTCGATCCTTTCATCTTTTCGATTTTCTTCAATTTATATACGTTTATTTATTGTATAATAATAATAAATAATAATACCAAAATAGCACCGAACCTTAATCAAAAACTTCTGAATGCGATCATTAAAATCCTGTCCACCCAGCCTGTTATTACCAGCCATCGCCAACGTCACAAATATCCCGCCTTGTAACCACAACACCGATACATCCAACGTACCTCCACCTTCATTTTTATAATTAATTATATTTAATAACAAATAATAATAATAAATAAATAAATAAAAACAAATATACCTAAATCCACAACAATAATATACTCCACACCCTTTTTCTTGTGTATCCCATAGGCTAACGCTGCCGCAGTTGGTTCACTTATAATCCTCGCAACATGCATTCCTTCAATATCAATAATAACAATAATAATAAATAATAATATTAATAATAATAATAAATAATAAACAATAAAAACAAATAATAATATAAAATAATAATACAACACCCGCTCTCTGCACCGCCAGCTGCGTGGCGTTGCGTTGTGCCTGATTGAATTCGGCCGGTACCGATATTATTGCGTTCTTTAATTTCAGTTTATACTTCTTCTCGGTTAATTTCCTCAAATACTCAATTATCAATGCGCCGACTTCTTCGGGGGTTATCTTCCTGCAATCGTCATTATTATTATTATCATTACTATTATTATTGTTACTGTTATTATTACTACTATTATTATTGTTGTTACTGTTATACTAATTGTTGTATTACTGATAATTCTCGCTGCTCAGGTTACTGCCTTCTTAGTCTTGTAAATAACTTAACTTCTTAACTGTATAACTGTTTTCTTGTTCACACCATTTTGATGGTAATAATGATAACAAAAAATAAAGTAACAATAACAGCAGCACAAAGTAATAACCATAAGCACCCACCTCACAACGCCCTTATCAAGAGGTATCTCAAAATAAACCGTTCCGTTTGCATTCAGTTTAATTGCGAATGGATATCGTTTTTTATCGTGCTGAATTCATTATTATTATTATTATTATTATTATTATTATTATTATTATTATTATTATTATTATTATTACTAAATATCAAAACAATCACAAACAGCACTAAATAACAAAACACACCACAAAATCCCTATCACCCTCCCTAAAAACACGCCCAACGAAACGTTTTGCGTCATAAATCGTTCTCAACGGATTCCTCTCTTGTTGTTCAACTGCGCGGTGACCGATTAGTATTGTGCCATTTGATCTGTAATTTTATTATCATTAATTATTACTTTTATTATTACTATTTATCGATATTACTTCTACATTCATTAACACTAACAATCAACAAATAAAACAAAACACAACAAATAAATTCAAAACCACTACACAAAAACAAATAAGCACGCACAGAAACGATATCACCGACGGAATCGAATACTTCCCTGAATATTCATCACGAATAATAAATGTTTTCGACGTTATCGATTCGTATATACCGATCGACGAGAACGTCGTCCCTTAATAATTTTAATTAATAATAAATATAATAATAATAATAATAAATACAACACTAAATAATAACACAACAACAAATACCTAAATCAATACCCACAATCGTAGGGGGCGGAGGGTGCGTTAAACCGTATTTCTGAGCGTAATATCCCGCTATTACCATCACCAACACAGCACTTCCTCAAATATTTATTATTACAATTATTAATTATAATAATAAATAACTAATTTTCATTTATCATTAATTATTATTTACTAACATCGTAAATATCACTATGTTGCCATCATTTATTAGTCATTCATAATAATTATTAATAATTTGTTATTAAATATTATCTATTATATTATAAATTTCAAAATAATATAAAAAACAATCGTGTTGATATTATTATTGTCAATAAAAAGTTTTAGTAATAAATAATAATAATAATAAAAATAATAACGAGATACAATCGTAAATAATGTCCATAAAATGAAATCGCCACCATCCAAACATACCAATTATTGAGATCGACGACGACATTACTGCAATAACGATGAATACATTAAATTTATTACCACTTCAAATAATATCGCGATATTATTCAGTCATCAATAATAATAATAATAATAAATTCATCAATTTCCCCTTTACGATCACACTGAAACGGCGTAACAAATAATAATTATTATTACATAATAATAAATAATAATAATAATAACAATAAATACTACTTATTGCATTATAAAATATCAGCAATAATATTTATCCATTGGCTTGTTGCATAGGTTCGTACTGCATAAGTTATCTAAGTTTTCTAAAAGTTCGTTTTCAGACCACAAAGACTAATCACTCAATCGACAATGTATTCTCCTTCGATTTCCACGACTTCATGCCATCGTTTCACCAGGTTGTCGATTCCACGACCATAGAAGAACATCAAATATTTATCATTCACTCATTTATTTATTAAATATTCAAATAATTAATTTTAAAAATATCGACTGCCAACGATAATAATAATAATAATAGTTATAATTGATAGCAAATAACAATGAAAAACTTTTATTCAAAATAATAATACACAATCAAAACACAATAATACTAAT